CTCACCTTTATAAACATAATTATAATTAGGATAAAAAATAAGAAAAAATCTCGAATTTTTGGATTCCTTCTGCATATCAGAAACGTTTGATGAGAAACGAAAGGTCCGATGACCTTAAGGATTCTTGGAAATCCTGCTCTTACTCATACATAAGCTGCCACCGAGACAAAAAGCCCTTGACAAATGAATTAGCAGGTGAGATGACAGTCGAAATAAATAGGTTCATCACATTCCTTAATATATGATTGAATAGCATAATTCAAGCAAACATGATTTCCCATAAAAATTTATTCAGGAGCATTCAGCATCAAGACGAGGTTCATTGAACGAGTTGACATCATTTCATTACTGTAAACAGACCGATAATAGCAAGGATAATGGCCAAGCTATGTTATTTAAATTATAACTGTCTGCCCTGACTTAAAGCTACTGCTGATCCACTAACCCATAACTTCTGGTATGAATGAGAATGCACTACAAGGCATACAGAAACTAATAGGTGCTAGGAAATTAGATGTGAGTAGCCTAGTTATACTTTTATTCTGGACTTGCTTTCAAATGTTTTTTTCCTAATTCTGGCTAAAAAAAAGAGAGCTCCTTACTTGGGCTTTTAGATAGTGTAAAAAGAGCACGCACGCGTGATAAAAACTTCGGGCTCAGGAGCAAAGGTGACTCGTGAAACCCTCCGGGAAGAGTTGCTAGTTAGCTCAGCAAGAACATCGTATTTTAGACTCTCAGACTCCCAGGCTGGATCGGGCGGAGGAATGGACGCTCCACTAGGCGTTCCACCAGTGTCAGTTTCACGACCGTTGCGGGCTAAAGCCTCATCCAGAGGAGCTGACAACGAAGTAGAGAAGTCACCTAAAGTAAGGGATATGGCTCTTGGTTGTCCAGTGGATGGGGTCGGACAGACGCCAGCTTGTATAGTGGATTTGGAGGGGTCAATAGAATCGTTGTTCCTAAAAAGATTTAGAAGGGTATGAAAGAAGTGCGAATGGCAAGATTAAGGAAAAACGGTATTACTAAGGCCAAATCAGAATTGGTTACAACGAGAGTGACGATAAGGGGAGTAAAACTAATAAAGATGCTTTGGCCTCATTTTCGCAATTCGACAGTGTGCTTAAGGCAATCTAGGTAGACTAATCTTGTTCGCAGTACTCTGCTATAATAGTTAAGATAATTTTCAGCATCGGACCGTGGACTAGGTACATGGCAACTCGTCATAGAAAAGTGTAATCCATCTCTTGAACGGTTATGTAATCACTCCTAATTCTGCACTGAAACTTCTATCTATCCCCTAGTTGTAGCCTAGCACCAAGAATGACTGGCGATGCCGACTACGATGCCAACGAAACGTCTAGGAATGTACCAAGTCCACGGTCCGACGTTGGAAATTATCATAACTACTACAGCAGAGGACGTTGGGCAATGTGCGTCGAACCAGGTTACCCTGGCAACACGATCAAGTTGCGAAAACGAGGTTAGATCATGTTTACATAGTTTGGGTTGAAAGTTCGGAGTAAAGAAAAAAAGGAGGCAGAAATCCCGAGCATAAGGAGGAAGCCAGTTTATTTTGGAGCCTAAATTGGGCTTTTACATTCCAACGGACACCTGCAAGCAGCATAAGTTCATAAATAAAGAATTACATACTTGCATACTCGCAACCACACATCATCATACCCATTAAGACTGCATGAAAACATAAGGGAAACCGATCGATGCTATATATCAAATCCAAAGTATATCCAGTGAAATTTTAGACAGCGTTATTTTTGAGCTGAGTTCCATCGTGTTTTAAAGTATATGATAAAGAGAATTATGGGGCAATCATTTCAGAAAACGAAGACGGAATAACCTTTGTTTGCTGTTCAATTTTCATAAGATGTTCAGACTAATGTAATTCTAAGCTATGATGATGTCTGACAGCAGGCCAATGAAAGCTTAATAGGCTCCCATTTCAAACGAAAAAGAATTTCCAGATAAAGGCATCAACATGAATGTCAAAAGCAAGATAAAATCAAAGTAGACCAAGTGGAAGAAGCCGAATCATCTAGGAAATTCATCAAACACTTTATCACAAAAGGAAAGTCAAATAAACAAGCATTCATCATGCGATTCACCCATTAAACCACATCACTCACAAGGTCGCATCCATGAAGGACAGTAAATTAACTAGGCAAAACACAAGATACCTAATTACGAAAATTAAAAGAATTTCTTCTCGATCTGAGGATGTCTACTAAAATTATGAAAAAATGGGTTTCGATGAATATATTGAGAGAACGTTATTGTAAAGGCGTTCATTTCATATGAAAATGTATGATGAAGAGATTCTTGGATCAATCTTACCAAAAGTCGACGGCTGATTCCCATAGAACTGTAACCGATTGGCCTTAATACGAAGTTCAGGTTGACGCCGTTTAATGGACATCCCCCCTTATCTTGGGTGAAAACGAGCTGAGTTATAGTTTATTCATATGATGAACAACATCAGAGCTGAAATTCATTCTTGCAGTCTATGAGACATCCTCCAGCGTTTCCGGCGGGAACGAGATGAGATTTCTTTCGTCATATAAGGAACATGATCAGAGCAAGGACTTATTCTAGCAAGAACCTCAAGTCAACCCGAACGTCGTATTAAAGCAAAAGGACCGCAGTACAACAGGAGTCAGCCATCGTCTTCTTGTGAGATCGAATTACGAATCTATTCACCATACACTTTCATACAAAATGAAAGTCTTTGTAACGAAGCAGGACAGGCGAAATCTTATAAAAGATTAATCATTCGGAGGACAGCACGAGGGATTATATACTGGGAAATATGGACTAGCACACAGTTGAAGATAAGCTAAGAGAAAACTCACTTTCTTCCTTAATTGCTTGTAAATCTTCCCTTCTCAAGTTTTAAATAAGATGGATAAGAGATATT